GACAGTGGGACCCACATCTCAAATTACGGAAAAATTAACGAAATCCGAACACCCATTCCGAGACGAGTCCAACCATACAAAAATTATCCAATTCCGATGTCAAATGGACCTTCAAATCTTAAATTTTCGTTTTTGGAAGATTTTATAAAAATATGATTTTTCTTCCATAAATTCACGGATTCATGATATAAATGAGTATGAAAACATGAAATATAATCAATATAGGATAAGGAATACTTATCCCAATATTTTTCCGTAAAAATCGCCCAAAAATTGCCTTACCCGAGCTCAAAAATGGAAAAGGGTTGAAAATGGGACGAATCCCATTTTCCAAAACTTAAGTTCTGTTTCTGGGACTTTTACCCTTCGCGAACGCGGTCAGTGTCTCGCGTTCACGAAGCACAAATTTGTGTTGTCCCATTTTACACTTCATGAATGCGAGGGCTACTTTGCGAACGCGAAGCTTGCCCACCTTAGCCTTCGCGAACGCGAGATGCCCTTCGCGAACACGAAGGCAATAATCCTAGCCAGCCTCTTTCCCTTCGCGAACGCGAGGCTTCGGTCGCGAACGCGAAGCTTTGAACCTCAGGCCTTCGTGAACGCGTTCACTCTGTCGCTAACGCGAAGTACAAAATGTGCCAGCCCCAATTTGTTCTTCGCGTTCGCGAGAGTATCTTCGCGAACGCGAAGAAGAACACACCAGAAGCCTGAAGTCTATAGAAAACTAGATTTCCTAAGTCCGTAAATGATCCGTTAACCATCCGAAACCAATCCAAGCCCTCGGGGCTCCAAATCAAACATGCACCCAAATCCTACAACATCATACAAACTTGCTTGCACGATCAAATCGCCAAAATAACACCAAGAACTACGAATCGGACACCAAATCAAACGAAATTTCCAAGAAAACTTTAAAACTAATATTTTTACTACCAGACGTCCGAATCACGTCAAATCAACTCCGATTCTCACCAAGTTCGGCATACAAGTCATAAATATTATAGTGGACCTATACCGAGCTCCAAAAATAAAATACGGACCCGAGGTCAATAAATCCAATATCAGTAATTTCTTAAAAATCATTAAGCTTTCAAGCTTTTAATTTTTCTTTAAAATTCCATATCTCGAGCTAGGGACCTCGGAATTCGATTCCGGGCATACGCCCAAGTCCCAAATCACGATACGGACCTACCGAAATTGTCAAAATATTGATCCGGGTCTGTTTGCTCAAAATATTGATTAAAGTCAACTCAATTGAGTTTTTAAAGCTCTATTTCACATTTTAATCTATTTTTCACATAAAAACTTTCAAAAAAATTTTACGGACTGCGCACGTAAGTCGAGAAATGATAAATAGTGCTTTTCAAGGTCTTAAAGCATAAAATTACTTATTAAATTTAAAGATGATATTTTGGGTCATCACAGCCTGATACAACTTGTTCAAAACTTATATAGTGTGTAGATGTGAGACTCGAGTCTTGTAAGAAATTCTGGATGTTGGAAATTGGGTTCTAAGTTTTACGGACTAAGGTTAAAGTAATGATCTTCAATTATGTTGTGTTGTTAGGCATATATGGAATAGAGTGGCGTGGTATCACCCCCGAGTATGTGCGTGGTAAGATGGAATAGTGATGTGATGGCTTGGAAATAACTCTTAGCACGTTCGAGGACGAACAAATGTTTAAGTGAGAGAGAATGTAATGACCCGGCTGGTCATTTTGAGTGTTGCAGTCCCGTTTTCCCATTTACTGCTCAATTTATGCTTTACAGTTATTATGTCACTTGCTCGGATAATTGGTTCGGGTCCGGTGAGGTTTCTGAATGAATTGAGACACTTAAGGCCCGTTTGGACATAAGAATTTTTTCCCCTTTTCCAAAATTGTTTTATATTTTTTCGAAATTAGTGCTTGTTCATAAAATTTCCAATTTTCACTTGAAGATACATTTTGAAAATTTTCAAAAATTTGAAAAACTCCAAAAACAGCTTTTCAAAATTCACTCAAATCACTCACAAAATTTTAAAAATAACCCAAAATTATATTCATGTCCAAACACAACTCTAAATTTCAAATACCATTTTCACTTGAAAAATATTTTCGTCCTATTTTGGAATTTTACAATTCTTATGTCCAAACGCCTACTTAGTCTCGAAGATGAAAACTTAAGTTAAAAATATTGACCGAATAATTGAATTATGTGTAAACGACTCCAGAATAGAGTTTTGATGATTCTAACAGCTCCGTATGGTGATTTTGGACTTAGGAGCGTGTCCGAAGAATTATTTGGAAGTCCGTAGTTAAATTAGGTTTGAAATGGCTAAAATAGAAATTTAAGTTGGAAATTTGACCGGGGAGTTGACTTTTTAATATCGGGGTCGGAATCTTATTCTGAAAATTTGAATAGCTTCGTTATGTCATTTATGACTTGTGTGCAAAATTTGAGGTCAATCGGACTTGATTTGATAGGTTTCGGCATTGAATGTAGAAGTTGAAAATTGTTAGTTTTGAATAGGCTTGAATTGGGGCGCGGTTCGTGTTTTAGTGTTGTTCTATATAATTTGATTCATCGACTAAGTTTGTGTCATATTATGGGACTTGTTAGTATACTTAGTTGGGGTCCCATGGGCTCGGATAAGTTTTGGAAGAGTTTGGTGATTTGAGCATAAGCATGTAATGATCCAAAGGTCCATTTTTAGTTCTAGAGATCGAAATTCGATTTCGAGACTTCCGGGATTTTGATAATGAATTATAGGAGTGATCTGAAAAGTTTGGTCTAATTTCATCAAGTCGCGATTGTGTTTTTAGCGTGAAACACAAGTTAATTGTTTAACGAGCGAAATTGGTATCGCATTGAGCAAATGAGCTTCGAATTGAGTTTCGATTAAACGACTAGGTTCGTATTATTATTTGTGACTCATAGGAACAAGAATCGTCGAATTCTGAGTTCGTATGATGGAGTTAGAGCCTTTTTAGTGAAAAATATAACTGCTGGTGCAAGTACTTCTGGTGTGGACTTTTAGTGACGGAAAATGGACTACAGAAACTTAAGAACAAAAAATGTTCATTTCCTTCATTTAGTTTTGGATTTTTGGAGCACGTTTTTTGGGCGATTTTGGGGATTTCTTCACGACTTCGACTTGGGTAAGTGTCCTATATCCAAAAGTGATTATATTCCATAAATCCATGGTTATATTCATCATTTATTTCGAATTTAAATGGAAGAAATCAAGATTTTTGTAAAACTTTTCAAGAGAAAATTTTAGATTTGGAGGTCGAATTGTTATCGGAATTTGATAAAATTGATATGGTTGTACTCATAATTGAATGTGTTATCGGATTTTGTGAGTTTCGTCGGATTCCGAGACGTGGGCCCCACAGGCGACTTTTGGGTGCAATTTTGATTTTTTATTGAAAAATTAGTATTTTCATATGAAATTAATTTCTATAATTGTATTGACTGAAACGAATTATTTGTGGCTAGATTTGAGGCGTTTGGAGGTCAATTCGCGAGGCAAAGGCATAACGGAATAAAGAATTACACAGTTTGAGGTAAGTAACATTACTAAATTTGGTCCCGAGGGTATGAAACCCTGGATTATGTGTTGTATGATTGGTTTTGGAGGTGACGCACATGATAGGTGACGGGCGTGTGGGCGTGCACCGTATGAATTGTGACTTGGTCAAATTAAATGAAATTGTGTAGTTGAATAATCTGTGGTTATCTGTACATTTTCCATATAGTAGAGAAATTGAAACACAAATCATGTTTAAATTATGTGTTGGCACTGTAGGGACCCACAAAGGTCATGTACATATTGAATTATTTGCTAAATTATTGTTTTGTACTCAGTAACGTTTACTTGTTTAGTTTATCTCAATCTCTATTGATACAATAGCACGTGAGTTATCCGTGCGAATCGATATATTATACTATAGCACGTGAGTTGTCTGTGCGGATCCAGATATTATATTATAGCACGTGAGTTGTCTGTGCGGATTATAGCGCTTGGGTTGTAGGAGCCCCTTCGGAGTCTATACTCACCCCCAGTGAGCGCAGGTACCTACTGAGTGTGAGTGCTGAGTGAATGGAATGGATGAGTGACTGTGGTCATGAGAGGATGCATTTGATTTCATTACTGTTGCACTTCAGCTGTCATATATCATTGTTTTATTTTTTGAAATTTTTGAGAGATATTATCTTATGATTCAATTGAACTTGACATGAAATTACTGTTTTGGCCTTAAATGTTGAACTTGAAAGCATGCCTACCTTATTATGTTGGAAATTACTGTAATTGGACTCAACTGTATAGCTCGTCACTACTTTCAGTTCTTTATTTAGACATGGTGAATCTACCATTTTGCACTTTGATCTCCATTCCTCATTACTTCTTCCTCTTCACTTTAATATTTTCCTTCTTTGCCAACTCCTCCACTCTCTCCATTATTTTCTTCGGTATCCCTTCGACCACAGCCTTTTCTGAATTTTCCATCGGATTACCTGACTCGTTGAATAATCCCGAAAGGTTCAATCCCGACGAAAATAAAATTAAATCGAACACGTTCATTGATGTTTTCTTAATATCATCATCATCTTCCAGCTGCTCCTCATATGCAATATCCTCTTGAAAGAATTTAATACGTTTAAGACTTTTTCTGAACCAGGGATCTTTGATGATTTCATCAATTGAGCTAATATAAACATCTCATATTTTTAGGTAGCAGACTTCTTTCACTTTTCAATCCTCTAGTTGGTTTAAGCAATGACAACAATTTAGAATATTGATAATTTATATTCTGATATAATTGGTCATTGCTTTCAATCAACATACTCTCGTAGCAAGAAAGTCAAGTAAACGTAACAAAAAGTATTAACTAAATATGACAACTTGGACAGTAAAATAAACCTCAAACGTAAAACATTCTTTATTTACAAGGTAATGTAAATTCAGAAGTCTCAAACATGAAGACACAAAAACTGAAAAGTAAAATACCCGCCATGTAAATCATACCTCCCAAACATTAAAGTTGCAAAAACAAAAGAAGTCCAGTGCTTAGGGAAATAAAGAGCGAAATATTTTACTTTACAATCACATAAATCAAGCATCCAAGCTACATCACATATATTTGAAGCTTAGGAATTCAATCTGAAATAGTGAACAATAACAAATATCTAGCTCAGACAAAAAAAGGATGTCCACATACAATGGACAATGACAGAGAGTCAAAGTGCACTTAACATTTCTGCAATGTTTGGAAAATTACCAAGCTTGAGAAGAATGGTCTTTTGAATCGGTTGGCGTCCAAGTCGAAAATCATTCGTTTTCATAACAAGCCAATCTCCTTTAGCATTTGTACCAATCATTGTGTATTCGCACAAAGTCCTGCATATCAACAATATATTATCATTAAAATCTTAAAATATTTCAAGTGGTAAAAGCTAAATCCTATAAGTCTTCATTGAAAATAACTTACAAGCTGCTGAGAAGCATCACAAACGTTACTGTAAAAGAGAAGGTGAAAATGCAAATTAGAGTCTCAACTGTGGTACTGATATGTTCCAATTCCAAAATATTTTCAATAAACTGGATTCCATTAAAAAATTTAATAACTAAATAACACACAGAAAGTACAACATTACATAAGTGGAACACCTATTCAAATTTTTATGACAGATCTTGCGCCATAGGACAAAATTTTCAAGTCCATCGTAAGAATCTAAGTTAGACATTGGATTAAGGCAAGTCAATTAAAGTAGAGACTTCGTATGGCTTTGAGCTTCAAGAATGATAATGTGAAGTAATAATTTATCAAAATAATCTTAATGTGCAATCACCATGTATATTAGCCAATAACATAATCAAAGTGATTCCGTACTGGAATCTTATTTTGAAGACAAGCAACAATTACAACCATACTTTATTGGCTGCATGCAGGGATCACTTTATTCAAAATTTAACATATATCAAGTAATATAACCTTTTCATTGTGAAACTATTCATAAATAAGATATCATGGCCAGCACCATAAACTCGAATAAATATTGCCTTTTAATGTCCATGTTGTTTGTTATTGCTTACAATTGGTGTTTCATCTATGATTGTTTCACAGTGTCTCAAGGTGAAACTTGTTTGAACCATTCAAAAATCATATCTATCCCCATTGATCCCAAATTGCTGACCAAATTGAATTTGAAGATCTAAATGATGCAATTGAATGCAATCATGTAGAAGAGTCTCTGTCAAATGATAATAATAAAAGGACTCGACAAAGATAAAAAGGACTCATTACAATATTTTTCAGATCTTCCAGTAAAACAATATATACACCAAACATACAAAAATTAAATTAAAATCTCATAATGTATTTAAGTAAAAGGGAAGATAACAGATAAACCTCTTTAATTGATAAAACAGACGTATCACCTATAGATCTGGTGCTTTTGGCACTTCTTGGTCTAAATTTGAAGTTGTACCCTTCTTGCTCTCTTCTTGCTGCCACCACGCAATAAGAACTTTTAAGAACAAACCGGAAAAAATGGAATAAAATATAAAAATGAAAGTTTCAATTGAAAATATCTTAGCAGCTTTGGGTGGTTAAGGACCAGAAGCAGAGGGAATACAATTTTTGGGTTTGACATATCTATAATAACTGAGATTATCTCTTGAAACCACTAATAGCTTGTGAAACTAATCCATAATTCGTCAACCTAATACGAGAAATAATAATCCCTAAATTAGTAGAGTCTTAATAATAATAATAATAAAATAAATAAATAAATAAATAAATAAAATTTAAAGTTGTTAATAGAAGAAACTTAAACATTCTAAAGGATGTGACGTTAGTAATGGAAGGTCACTATCATTGTTCCTATGTGACCACCTCAAATGCTCGGAGAAAGAAATGAGAGTGTGTTGGTTTCCCAAGTACACGCAAGTATACATAATCGTCAAGTAATAAAGTGACTTGAAAGTCGGATGTCGAACCCACAGATACTTAGATTGATCGTTAACTAAGCAAACTAAAATCAATTAATTGTCCAAGCTATTTAAGAGTGACGTTTTTCTATTAATCTACTATTGCGAAAATTAAACAAGTAACAACTAATTTATCAAAAATGCAAATGCGTATGATGAGATTTTTCTTCAGAGGAGATGAAAATTCCAGGGTTGAGGTGCACACATCATCATCTAGTTAAATTAGAATTGGACCTAATAATATCTCAATCAAGTATTGGTCGTAGATTGAAGATCGAAATAAGGGTATGTTTGAAAAGCCACCAGGTAATTGGAATTGATGTAATTATTAGGGTAGTAGTTGCATAGCCTAGACGATCTATTTATTTGTCATAATGTAATTAATTACAAGTGTACTGTTTGGTTGCGCAAGTGTAATTATACAATTAGATTACATTTTAAATATAAAGTTAATTATCAAAAATTAAAATTTAAGATCAAATATATGCCTTTATAAATGATATTAAATTTGACATTTAAGATACATATTGTTTCTTGAAAATATTTTAATTACTAATCATATATTTGTAACTAATATTGTAAAAATAATTGACATATATTTTTTAAATTAATAATATTTTACTTTAATTAATTATAAAAATTAAATGTACATTTTTTGTAAGAACATCATGGACTGCATGTTTGATAAAAAATTAATATTTAAAAATATAATACCATAATATTACTTAATATTTTTACGAAAAAATAATCTATCAATTCTAGCTGAAAAATGGATGGCATGCAATTTGAATTTATAAGTCATTAAACATGGTAAGTGAAATTTATTACCCAAGATTTAATTTGTTCAATGGCGGTAAACACAAAAATTGCAAAAATATGATATTTTTTTTGGGATGGTCTTTAACTTTTGACTCTGCTCACCCAATGGACAAAAGTTGAACGTCAAAAGTTAAAAGTGTTGCTCATGAGGCAAGCGAGGAACAACACTAGTTAAACTTGAACTTCTGCTCATGACAAGCGGGGATAAAAATTCAAGATCATCCATTTTAAAATTATTTGTGTGCTTTATATATTCGTTTGAGCTGTGAGAACTGAGAAGAATGAAAGAACGAAAGTAAAAAAGAAGAAAATAGGTGGCATTACAATAAATAACAACAACAACAACCCAGTATAATCCCACTAGTGGGGTCTGGAGAGGGTAGTGACCCCTACCCTGGGGTAGAGAGGCTGTTTCCAATAGACACTCGACATCTTTCCCTCCAAGAACTCCCACCAACTTGCTCTTGGGGTGACTCGAACTCACTCACAACCTCTTGGTTAGAAGTGGAGGGCGCTTACCATCAGAGCAACCCACTTGTCATTACGATAAATGAGAAGGTTAAATCCGAATATAGGCGACTTTTCCAAAATCAAACTTGTTATATCAAACAATCTTCTTTTTTCATAGGCACGTAATTTGAGTGAATGATACAGGAAAAACCTTGGTATAATGTAGAGCGTTCGAAGTCTCCCGCCGTAAATCTCAAAAGCAACATCGTAGTCCCCAACTATCGATTTTAACATTACCGAATTTTCTTTTTCTATAAAGATAAAGTACTTTTTTTTTTCCGTCAGAGCTTTGGTATGTATAGAGCTCTCCTCAAGACTGTTCTATGGAATAATATTCGTCTTACATTGACTTCAAAAAATCTCCAGTATTTCATCTTTATTTAATTAATAAAAGAATAAAGTCACAATTGTTTCATAATACCGATTCTAAACTCGCAAACTAACATATAAGTATGCTATTTTAAACTAAGTTCAGATAATCGGATGTACTCCAATAGTAACAAACGAAAATTAGAGTTCATTATCAAAAACTGAAAGCCCTAAAGTTTAAAATTCATTTCTTTCATAGCGCACATAATCGATGCCATAAACCTAAAACCACGATATAAAGGTCAAATATCACATAAACAGTGAAACACACGCAAAACAACTAGAAAGCGGAAACAACAATATACGGGAAACCTACCATTACTTTCAGGGAATACGAAACATATCGTGATCGTGGGGAATGAATAATGATGTGGATGTGGATGTTGATGTTGATGGAGTAGTCGCAAAATTATATTAATCTAATTTGATCCAACTCCGAAAGCTTCTGACGGAGCTGCCAAAAGAAAGTTGCTTATAAAAGGAATTTGTTCAAAGAATTGGAAATAATAACTTCCTTTTGACCATGGGAACATTGATCTGGAAAAAAACTGTACAGTCTGGATAAATGAGGCTAAAAATCAAAACTTTATCAACATTCTGTATGTGTGCATCTACTCAATGATGTCCACGTCTAAGGGCTGAAAAGAATCCTCCAGCTGACTTCTCCTTGCAACGATCTGCTCTTTCATCTCCAACCTGACCCACATGTCGAGTGTTGCCGAGTTAATAAACTACTTCCTTTGTTACAGTTTATGTTATGAGAGTACTATTTAAATCCATCTTTGTGTGCAGAGAAATTATGAAAATTAAAAGCAAAGCACAAATGAGGATAGTTATTATTCTAGGGAAGCTGAAGAAGGGACTGCCAACTCTTAAGAAGTTCAAGGAGAGTGAACTCTTTTTTCCCCAGCCATTAATACAATTTATATTATCGGCATGAGGTGGCAATTTGACAGAAAATTGTAAATCGTGACCAAAAGATGTTCGGCCAAAGAAAATCAATACCCTTTTAAATCCCAGTAAATCCAATTTGTGACGTGTACTGTACATTTATCACCAAGAAAAATAATTATTAACTGGCCAATGCCTGAGCAGAGACAAATACCTCTTTTGCTATTTGCTGCAAAATATCTACTATTTCAGAAAAGTCAGGCCTGGATGTCGGGTCTTGTTGCCAGCATGTCTCTAGCAGCTCAGCAAGTCTGGGAGGAGTGTGCTTGGGTATAGTTGGTCGCAAACCCTGGCAGCAATTAGAAAATTAATATCAAATCATTTGTGCATATCTTTTCTATGTGCGCCCGCATGCATGTGATGAGCGCGCAATATGCAATCAACCATTATGGTCATACGATATTACAAATAAAATAAAATCAAATAAAAGAAGCATTACCTTCTGGACCACTCCAATAGCAGCTTGCAATGGGGTCAAGTACTCATATGGAAGCTGGTTAAACAAAATCAAGTGAATATAAGTATATACCAAGAAAACAACCAACAAAAACGGGCTAACCCAAAAATTTCCAATCACATATCAGTACCTTCCCTGTCAGCAACTCCCATAGCACAACCCCAAAACTGAATACATCTGCTTTGTGATCGTAGGGCTTGTGTTCTATTACCTTCAAGAAGAAAGATCTGAAATAAGCCAATGCAGCCATGCTAACTGCACAACTAGTTATATAAAATCTCATTGAGAAAATAACGGAAGTAACTCGCACATTAACTGATTTAAGTAACTGTCACAAATAACTAACTGATTGTTTTTGGCCGAGTTTCTATAACCCTTCCCATGCTCCATCTAGTTCAATTACTATTCAAGCAACTGCAGTGATGCTTACAATGACACAAATCTTATACAAAATAACAGGGAGTTTTTAACACAAATCTTATACAAGCAGTCATAAAATCATTGATCAGCATTGCGTGTACCCACTAAATAAGCTCAACCTCATTAAATTTCATCAATCACCACTGACACCTAGGAGTTACCTAACACATCTGGATCCTCTTGGCCAGTAACAACCAATGAAATACCTCAATTCTAAGCCACTCCAAACAACAAAAACACAAGATATCACCACTATAGTCAACATATTAAGAGCCAGCCATACGATGAAAGTTTGGGAGAGGATGGTTGAAGTGAGGGTGAGGAGAGTTGTATCTATTTTTGAGAACCAGTTCGGTTTCATGTCGGGTCGTTCGACTACGGAAGCCACTCACCTCGTGAGGAGATTGGTGGAGAGGTATAGGGAGATAAAGGACTTGCATATGATGTTCATTGACCTAGAAAAAGTATACGACAAAGTCCCGAGGGAGGTGCTATGGAGATGCTTGGAGGCTAAAGGGGTCACGGTAGCCTATATTAGGGTGATTAAGGACATGTATGATAGAGGTAATACCCTGGTTAGGACAACGGGAGGAGACTCGGAACACTTTCTGGTTGTGATAGAGTTGCACCAGGGATCAGCTCTTAGCCCGTTTCTATTTTCCTTGGTGATAGACGCACCTACGCGACACATTCAAGGGAGGTGTCATGGTGTATGTTATTTGCTAATGACAAAGTTCTGATTGATGAGACGTTGGGAGGTGTTAACAAGAGACTGTAGGTTTGGAGGGAGACCCTGGAGTCTAAAGGTTTCAAGTTGAGCAGGACCAAGACGGAATACTTAGAGTGCAAATTCAACGACGTAACCCAGGAAGCGGACATGGAGGTGAGGCTTGATACACAAGTCATCCCCAAGAGAGTAAGTTTTAGGTATCTTGGGTCAATAATACAAAGAAATAGGGAGGTTGATGAGGATGTCACACATCGTATCGTGTCAGGGTGGATGAAATGGAGTTCGCTTCCGGTGTCTTGTGTAATAAGAATATTCCATTAAAACTTAAAGGTAAGTTCTATAGAGTGGTGGTTAGACCGACTATGTTGTATGGAGTAGAGTGTTGGCCAGTCAAGAACTCTCATGTCCAAAAGATAAAAGTAGCTGAAATAAGAATATTGCAATGGATGTGCGGGCATACCCGATTTGATAAGATTAGGAATGGAGTTATTTGAGAAAAGGCGAAAGTGGCCTCCGTGGAGGATAATATGCGGGAGGCGAGTCTGAGATGGTTCGGACAAAGGAGAAACATTGATGCCCCAGTTATGATGTGTGAGAGGTTAGCAACAATGGGTATGAGGAAGGGTAGTAGCATGCCGAAGAAGTATCGGGGAGAGGTGATTAGGCAGGATATGACGCAGCTGGAGCTTACTGCGGACATGTCCCTTGATAGGAGGTTGTGGAGGTCGAGTATTAGGGTAGAAGGCTAGTGGGTAGTCGAGCGCGCTGCTCTTTCTTTTCCAGACCTATAGCATTAGTATTAGTATGGTATCCCTTTTACTCATAGACTGCTATCTTTACTTGTTGTTTGATTGGCATCTTTCGCTTTGGTTTTTTAATATACTGTTGTTGTTACTACTTGTGGCCTATGCTTCTTTATGTATATGTGATATTCCTATAAAGCGCATTTCATCTACTCTCTAGTCGAGGGTCTATCAGAAACAACCTCTCCCTCTCTGACCTTCCGGGGTAGGGGTAAGGTCTGTGTACACATTATCCTCCCCACACCTTCACTGGGTTTGTTGTTGTTGTGCATCAATCAACTGGGCAGAGAGTTGATATCAGTGCTTGTATCTCACAACACTCCAATGAAACAAAATTCAAACAAGAAAAAGCTAAAAGGTACAGTTTCAATTGCCTCTAATTCCAGTTATGGAAATATGAGAAAACTCATGCTCCATCATAAACTGTGTTTTGTTCCCAATTTAACCATTTTTGATAAGTTTGTATCTAGAATCTACAAGAAAGGATATTAGAGCTTTAGAAAGCACAAAACTTTTTCTGATACTCATCCCTTATGCAGTTGCAGCCCAAAATGGTGCAGTAAGGTACCCCACAGTCAGCTCTCTGATTCTAGTAACACACAATTCTGGTACTAAAAAAACAAAATATCCTTTGCCAAGATCACTAGAGACTTGCCATGCAGCAATTTAATAACGTAACATCTCGGCACATTATCTAGGACTCACGCGAGTTATTTGGATGGGGAGGTCCAGAAGGAAAGCTTGTGTCAGTAATTGCAGACTCTCTTACCTAACACAAGTCATGATTGGTAGTACTAGCTATCTAGTTCTTGGTAAATATGATGCAACATATACCTCTGATACTACACCTATCATATGTATGTAGCTCTTTCTGTATCTATTTAGAGGAACCATGTCGCATATTGCTTTCGTATTGGTCTGCCTTCACACATAACTTTAGTACCTTCAGCCTCCATTGTAACAACTGCTGTTACCTTGAATGGATTCATAATTGGTACCACAAGCTATCGAATTCTTTGAGAGATCAAATAGAGTCTACACGTCTTTGTATTATATAATTCTTATAATGAACAAATCTTAGTTAAGACTCCACCCTCTTGACATAAGGACTGCTCCCTCTCTCTATTCCTCTTCTTCCATCCCTTCCTTCTCTTAAATCACCTTCAACAGTCTACTCACTACTGTGTGTACAATCAATTAATACCGCCTAAATCCTAAACAATATAGATGGCTAAATTTAAGATCTGCACCAAAATTCTGCTCACTCATAACTAACTTCTATCTTAAGGCTTAAGCCTGGTTTGGGAGATTTCGGATTAAATTTCCTATCTTAAGATTTGAATGATAGGCCTACCTCCGGGGCCATCCATCTATAAGTCCCGGTTTCTGCCGTCATTACACCTGTTTGTGCCTTCACTCTGGCAACACCAAAATCAGCCACTTTAATGACCTGAAAAAAGACATTAGGTAAAACTTGATAAGCAACCAACTAATTTGGGTTAAGATTGGCCTAGACTAAACTAACAAAAGAGAGCTTGAATATAATTATTTTTGAAACCCACTTAAGAAAATAAAAGCGGATAAAAAGGTGTATTGGGTAATTTAACCCATAGTGAAGCATCAATGAGTAATTCTCAGTTGAAAAAATAACATGATCGATATATTCTGCGAGAAAATTATAGCAAACTATTGATTACAAACAGCTGAAAACTAATTTTAGACTCAAAATTTACCACTAACTGATTCAGAACATAAGGTGGATGAAGGACTAATGAACCCACACATGCCTACAACACATATTTTATTATGTCTAAGTACACTAACCAAATGATTTAAGTCAAATTAAAAGGGATTTCAAAGTGAAACTTAGTTGAAAACTAGAGTACAATTGAAAGAACATGGGATGAATGAAAGATTACACCCTTAATTTGGCACACTTTGAACTCCACTGTTATGAACTGAATTTCAAGCTGAAGCTTAATTGAAAGCTACAACAATGAAATTTTGGGATAAAAGATGGCAATTGCATCATTAATGCATTTCGCGCAATTTGGTCACCAATATTAGAATCTGGCTGTAAGGGAGAAGTGGAGTCGTTCTACAATCTCAGACACGGAGGTAACAGAAACTACAAATTGAATTACATCATGTCTGCCTTTTAGACACTGTTTTTCAGTCAAGGAGGCTTTGGACTTGCTAATGTTTTGTTACTTCCGCTTTAGCATTTAATTCTTTCCTATCTTTATACAAAAATAGCCTTAAGTGCCTCTCAGTTCTTTCCATCCTGGTTCTATCACTAAAAGACCACGATGAGGACAGATCGTCAGTGTGTTTCAACCTGCTTGTGTTCTCAATATTTTCAAGAAAAGCAATATGTTTTTCACGGACTCGAAATAAAACACAGTCATATCCTATTTCATAGATCTAATGCAACCACAATGATTTGCCTTTAGCAGATTTCCTATAGGCTGATAATAAAAACTTTGGAAAATGTCCCAAAGTTCAAGCAGCCCATTATCGCTAAGCAAAAGAGTGATAACAAAATGTTATCAGTGGTATATAAAATACGCAGCGCTCCGTATCCTGTGGTGGCATCTCCAATAACTTCCCTATAGTCGTTCAGAAATAAACCTCTTTCATGTGGTAGGGCCTTGTGTACTAGCTAATGGTTCTACATTTGCAAATGAAAATGGGAAATCAATATTTACAAGCATAGTTAGTTGGACATGATAAAAATTACTCTAGAAAGTTGATCAATCATCAATATACGTAACATCAGCGACTAAAAACATCTAGCAATAAGACAGCACACAAAGTATAAGATTTTCAGCCTTACTGAAAATTGCGTCTTACTTCATTTTCATCCATCAGTAGATTGGCAGCCTTCAAGTCCCTATGTATAATATTATTTTGATGCAGGTAGTTCATCCCTTTAGCTACATCAATCGCTACTTTAAGCAGGGTAGGTAGTTTAAAACTGCCCTTTCGTTTGTGTAAATAGTCATATACGCTTCCCCCAGACATGTACTCTACAGTCAAAGAAATGAAAGATAAATAAACATTAAGTGAACTCCTACTGAAACTGATACAGGAAATGGTTTTGAAAACAGTGATAGTCGGCGATTTTGAAACAATTCTGCAAGTTGGGTGATCTGAATACGACATTTACTACCTGTTACTATACACAAGTTGGGAGGCCTGGTACAAGCCCCTATGAATTGGACAACATTTTTGTGACGAACTTTTCTGCAAGTACAAAAGAAATACAGTATCAGAGGAAAGATAACGACTTGACATGGTGTGTAATCTTATACTTGTCCTGAAAAGTAAAGGATATAGCAATGTGACAATAATACCATATATTGTCTGAACATATTTTAAGCATAGAGAAAGAAATCAAAGATAATAGCGATAAGCTTCATAGGGAGGTATAACCAGACAGACCTCATGATATACACTTCTTGGGCAAACTCCGTCTGCAATTCTGTGTTCAAGCGCTCAGATTTTAGGATTTTGATAGCTACATCCTGACTGCAGTATGTACCTTTGTATCTGAAACAATTACCTAATTAATTAAGTCTCCAGGAAACTAAAATGGTCAGAGGAATGATATAGCTCATAACAAACTTACAAGTCACCATATGAACCAGATGCAATCTTGTATTCAAATTTTAAAAGCTGATGATCAATTTCCCAGACGTCAATGCCATCAAAAGGTATTGTCAAATGGTCAAATTCACGTTTGATCAAGTCTTGCTCCTGCTTTATGAACGATTGTGACGGGCTTGGCCATGATTTCTGAATGGAGCTACACCTCGTTAAATGATAAGTACACAAAACTTACAGACAACTGGCTAAATCTTATATTGCTCGTCGAGGAGAACAAGGAAATGACTAATCCTAGTAACTCCAAAAGTATAATCATTCAGAAAACGACCAGAAATCTGTTCTTACCAAAGTCCTTTGTACATTAGTTGGGATTTAACTAGTGCAGAAAAAACATATCCAGAAATCTCGGCAGAATATCAAATGTCATTATATAGAACAAAATAACAGGAAAGTACCTCATTTCTCAAGATTTCCCTCTCCAATGCAGTTCGAAGTCGCACAACTTCCTGATAAGAAACAGAAATAAATGTTCCATTGGACACATGACATCAGAAGGAATATAATAGACAACCCCGACCATGACCGAGAAACCATAACAGAGTGATTTTACTTTTTCAATTAGAAAAAAAAATAAAAATTGGCACCTACCATGGGGCTCACACTGAATGCTGGAATTGGTGCTACAAATATGAAGCATTGGAGCACAGAATTTCATTCACTTCTGTTTGAAATGTAAAATACTCCCAGTTTATGCACTGAATTTAGAGGTGCAACAGTGTAGCCTAGAACTCAACAAGCCAACTACAGAAAGGATTCCTATGCCGGAAAAAGTTAATTGGCGAACCAACACTTCAAAAAGATTATTTTACTGTAGACCTTTTAAAACTCATTTCCTAATAAGTGAAGTAGAGAATCATGACTGTGATATATACAAAGTAATAATCAAGAAAGCAAGACATAATCATTTCCCAAGGTAAGCTGAAAGCGGGACACTCTTATTAAATTTATGTCACATTTTTTCTTACGAAATAACAAAAAAACAAAACAAAAACCTAATGACATAATAATAGTTAAATGAAAGTGTATGATATACTCTCATTGAATTCAACATAGTTATACTCCAATATGTTTTATCATAGTCGATTGTCATACGTAAACCTTTATGCACTTTGATTTATTGAAATCTTAATGTTAAAAGTATTTATAACTGAATTTTCTAGATGTACAAGTACAAATCCTTTATATTATTTTTTAATCAGAATTATCAAATTCCTTTTAAATTATGTAGCCTAAATAATTTGATGAAATTCTCATAAACTTTACATAGTTTAAAAGTGGTTACTCAATTTTTAGTTGAGCTGAAAGCGACCATAATACAGAACTTTAAACCATGCATACATTATCTGTCACTTCTTGATGTTAGGTCACAAAATATAACAGGCACCTAAGCGAACCCAGATCAAAGTGAGGATATAACGTCAGAGATGTACCTCATAGGGCCAACCATCAACAACAAAGACATCTAGGGAGTAGCCATCCACAGTGGAAAAGGCATGCGCTTCCTGGATGTTCAGCCCAAGCTCAGCTAGTAATGAAGTTAACTGTCATATTCAAAGGTTCATTATTGTCTCAGATTTCCTTATCATGAGATATAAACTGATATAAAGAACTACTTCTTTTCTTGCAATACACAATCCTTTCTCACTGCATCACAATGCCAAGTAGGCAGGCAATATTTATCAATTTTGGTGTCACCAAATACAATTATGTCTGTTTTACTTGCACATTCCAAATCATGCATCATTTTGAAATCTGCAGCAAGATGAGAGTTGTGTTCTTTCATGAAACAAAGGAACAGACAAAAGCCTCAGCCCTTCATACATCAAGGTCCCTGAATTACATTTCTACATAAAGAATTAAATATTATACATGTTCATGGGTCAACAATTGGTTTCAATAATAAATGGACATTTTTTCAATGTCAAATAAAAAGCTTACCACATCCCACCTCTGCCAACAGATAGAGTACATTTCTATCAAGCAGATAGTGTATTGAATAAATAAGCACATCAATTACCTGGCTAAGAAGCTTTGGCTTGTCATCTGTTGAAAATGTAATTTCATGCATGGGCCTGCAAAATTATTTACAATTTTATGCTTCATAATATATACTCGTCGAAGCGGAATGCACAAAAAGAAAAAAAATTCTATACCGCGAAAAATTTGCACAAGGAGCAGCAGTATCTTCGTCTTGAACTTCAGATTTGATTGCTTCACAAGCAAGGGCTTCGAGATTAGGAGAAGAACCAAAGGCAGGTGGAGGATGGACACTATGTATCAAAATGGAAGCGGTTATTTAGCACAGTCAATGACAAGTAAGAATTCAAGATTATATTAAACAACAGAAAAAGGCTTCAATGAATCACTAAGTAACCAAAGAAATACAGCGTCCTATGGGAAATCGTTTTCAGGTAGAATGTCACGAAGGTGATACCTTCTGCTAACTTCCTTCTTTGCAAAGCTCGAATGAAAAGAATCTCTTAAGTTTCCATCAGGAACCGAAGCAACCTGCACAATGCCAAGTTTGATTCAATCCATAACTAGCATATACTGGGAATAATTAGGTACTGGACAAGCAACAATAAACAAAAAATACAAAGGACCAAGATTACACGGAGATGTGTTGGTCTATTGAACTAGCTAGTCAGAGTGAACGAACATCTAAAATATCCTCCTTAACTCCAGAAAAAGGCATGCTTGATTTAAATGTATGCGATATCAAGAGCAAAGCAACTAAAAGGTGTTATCTTGCAAGAGTAGTTTAATTACCTGCACCAACCGGACATCAAAGGCAGGTCTATTAGCTGGAACATGTGCAAGATGTAGCAATCGCTTGTGTGTGAGTACATCTTCTGCCCTTTCGACATTCACATCTATTGCGTACCTTAAATGCAAAAATAAGGTATTCGTTTATTGATCAATCAATTTTGGCGGCACATAAGTATGCACTTCTCCAAAAAAAAAAAGTATTCAGCGTTTCGCAACGTCGTGCATCTAAAACACGCACATTAATACATCTGCACAAATGTGAACTGCTTAGCAAATTCAACTGGTTCATCGAAATTTTAACAAGCTAAGATAGCAAACTTTTCGGCAAGTAAAACCTAAAAATTTAAGACCAGAAGAGGAAGCTGGAAACGATAACTGGCATTATCGACTTCTAACTTGATAAGAAGATTGAAACTGTCGACCAAAAATAATCCAATCTCCCAAAGGCACAACAAATGCGAACGACAACGGTACATTTGAGATCATATGTCAGTAGTCATATATTATCGTCTATAGAAAACCGCATAAAACGTATATAATTGTACGGATTAATACATAGAGAGAGGTAGAAAGGTAAAGTTACCGAGTAGGTAGACGATTGAAGTGAGCCCAAAGTTCATCGTCAAATCCAGGTTCTAAAGCCTCGACGTTGTTTGATTCCTTAAGCCTCCGTAAAACCTCATTGTAGACCTCCAATTTTTTTCTCTGATGACGACCACTGGTAGTCGCCGAATCCACCACTCTACTCCCACAACTCTCGTTATCCTCTATCGCCATTTCACCTCTCTCACTAGTCTTAAATTCCTCCGGAATGAAAAATAATGGCCGCGGTGCAGTTTACGTAAAGTGAATCTTCGTTATGGAGATGGAAAATTACAGAATTCAAATTCTACTTTATATCAAAGATGCATGTTTAATTTGTGAAAGAAAACTGAGAAGAATTATTAAGAAACAAATGGCGGTGGGGGGAGTGGTTTTGAGGAAGGTTTCATTCCCATTGGTCATATCGTTTTTCCCTCTCTCTGTGTGTGGGGGGGGTGGGTACATGAAATGAATCATGTATGTATGTATTGTATAACCCTTTTTTGACTCGGGGTAAAGGTGGGATTTTAATTGGCACAGTCAAGTTGACGTGGATCTGCTTATCTTCGATCTGCTTTTTTTGCGTGCTAATTACATTCCCCTTTTTTTTTTGCTTTGCTTAATATTCTTAGCTTTGGCAAAATTTAGGTGATGAATAAACCGACAAGTGGGTATTAAATATAAATAAAAAAGGATATTCTCCGGGAATAGTTGCTACTGTGTTATTAAGTATTAAGCCAAAGCTTCACCGCAACAATAGCCAATTAGAGCATTCACATCAACGGGGCCGGCGGATCCACCGTTGTTTCAGACGAACTGTACAAATGTAGGTGAAATTTCGATAAAGATGCAGTACTGATGTTATAAAGATTTACAAGTAATCGGTTATACTGTGCGCTTTTTATGCTGTAATCATGGATTGTTTCATTATTATATGATGATTTAAATTATGCAAGATTATAATAGGTAGATTGTTTATGGGTTAAATAATAATGAAATAATTGCTATGTGATGAATAAAAATATGTATTATCATGCGGTGAATAATAATAATATGGAAATTATTAAAAAAAAAGAATTGTCAAATTTGAGTTAAATCAATTTAATTAAAAGTACTTTTAGCATTAAATTCGTTGTCATCAGCAAGAATCAGTGGGGGATTTTGTTTTGTTTACAAAGTCTCATTCATTTATTATTAGCATCACCATTCAACAACATGCCGTCATTATCATGAATAAATTTTTAAATCAAATAACATAATTAAGGTGCAAACTAAGAGCTTTTTGTCACATTAAAGTATAACTAAAAATTTGAATTTAGCACGAATATATATGATTGTTCACAATAACCTTATAAAGCTTCACATCACTGATATCTTGTCATTGGAACAACTTATAAATTTTGTGTTAAAATACGTAATTAAATGACTGACGGACTTTTAACATATCAAAAGTGAAATTATTGAATTTATATTTCACCGAAGTGAAAAATAATTTAGCTAAAATTCGGTATCCTTCTCTATTCATCAGGAATAAACATTAGCTATTGAATGATCCTTTTAGGATTTTATAATAAGAGAGTTAAAGGTCAATGTTAGAGCTTCTTTTTGCTCGTGAACTTTTGGTCGAAACGAGTCTGCCGTATTGTCTGATAAGTTCATAGGAAAGATATGAAATGCAGATATGAGAAAGCGAGAGAGATACTGCATGCTTGTTATGCTTTATGGAATGAAATGGCTAAATACTCCTATTTCATGCGGATTCTCAATGATTATTTGCAAAATATTGGACTATTTTGAAAAGGTAACACAAAATCAAAATAAATTTATTGCTGCAATCGAGTCAGCAACACAAAAATATACTAGTTTTAGGGTACGTGCGTTGCACGTGTAAGACGCGTATGTTAGTAGAAAAATTGTATATGACGAGAACAAATTATGTATAATAGTAATTAATGTCCAAATAAATTTCAACATGCAAATAAAATAAAAATTGGGTGTAATTACATTAATATAATAGGTGAATTCAAATACTCCTATGTTTGATATCTTCTCAACCTGCAAAAGTCAACACTTTGATTAGTTAAGGTAGTGATATAACATTTGTAATTATAAATAATATATTTTATGATTTAATAACAGTTATATTGTTATATCTTACATAATATCTCTTTATAGACAATATTCAAAAGATTTATTTAAAAGAAGATTTAAAAGAAATACTTAAACCACTAATAAGGATTTAACATAATAAAAAATATATTTGCTAATGCACTGACCTATGTTAATCCAACCAGAATGCACGTACTACTAAACTATTAATTTTTATACTTCTTACCTTGTTACCTCTTCTAACCTAGTTAGGATCCTCCAATGTTGTAATTTTTTTTATGGAGAATTACAATCTATCATCACTAAATATTGACGAACATAAATTATTTCTTGGTGAGATAGGACTTTAATTTTTGACTTCCTATATTTATGAATTTATTTGAAGACCATACATTGAGCAAGATCGTATCAAATTGAGGACTAATATGCTTTTGTTCACATATACAAGAACATACCTTATTGCACAATAAAATTAATTTTTAATAGTAGCGTAAAATCAAATAAAGCTACCAGCTGAACCAGTAAAAACTGTCAAAATTTTGGGCATATGCAAGGACACCAATTGCCAAGAGCTATTCTTTAAGAACACAATTATAATATTGTGATATGTATAATATAGTAAATTAAAAGAAGTAATTAAATTTAATTTTTTCTCAAAAAATATGAGCAACTTGAGCTCGCATAACAAATAATAATTAAAACTATCAAACACAAAGTGAAAAATAATCTTAAATTAATAAAATATTCAATTTATATGAGTTAGAATGTCTAACCAATTTTATGTGATGAATGCAATGATCCAAAGAACCTGTACAATATTCGTATATGAGCCAATTTTAAACCAATGATCATATATGAGACATTGTAAATAAAATCACAATTGACACACTTTCTATATGCAATTGTTTATGAGTAATGCATTAAAGATCATTATTAAGTAAGTTCAAGAATATAGAACAAGGTAGAAAATTTACCTCAATTCACAAGCAAATTTACCTATACGAACGTTTGATACTATAAACAATTTATAATAAAGAATGCCGGTTAATGGCTTCTTTTATAAAGTGGTTAGCTCCTCCTTATTTTTAATGTTTTGGTTCTAAAATTCTAGAAACCTAAATTGAATCCTAAATATAAATAAAGTGAAGATACAACATTACCATAAACTACGGTCGATAAACTAATATTAAATTGAATCCTAAACCTACACAAAAAAAACACAATGAAAATTGCATCTTAAACATAACATAATTAAAAATAAAGAGTCCTAAAAGTAAAGGAAGAATTATAAAACTAAAGGAAACAAAACCAAAGGAAAAGAAATCGTAAGGCAAGAATCCCAATTAGTGTGAATTCTAAAGAACTCTAAACCTAAAAGGAAGCACACGACACTTTTTGATTTTGGGAAGAAAAAAAGAAATTAATGATTATAATTATAAATATATCCAACATAAAATGCACTTATAATCGAAGCCAGGTGCCCCTCGTATCAAGGCCCGAGCAAAACACATGCCCTAGGAGCCATTAAGACCACGCCCCTAGGTCTGGTTCGAGTTCAAAGACTCCGGAGAGCATTACCAAATGACCGCGCACGATTAACAAAGGGTCATGATATCCATGTCCAACCGGATACCACGACGTGAATCTCGGTCCGTATCGACAGCAGATTAGTGATTAGCGAAAAGGAAGATTTTTACCTTTCTTAGAATTGTGCTTAGAGTAAAACTCTCCTACTATATAAAGGGGAAACTGATTATTTAATAGACACACTATAACACGCATATTAAGACAATATACATTTGTTTTATGTGTTTCTAAAGGTATATCAAAATTCTTAATTTTGTTCATAGTTCTTCATAAGTATTTGGTTCCGAATCGAAGGCAGACTAATTGTTTGGCTCACAACCGAGCCCGAACTCGATACTACTACTGGTTTGGCCATATATTCTATCTTTAATTTGCTCATCTAACGCTGCTAATCACTTGTATTGAATTAGTCTACACATCCTTTAAATTGCGTATAAATTCAATTGTTATCCATTTTTAAGGGTAAACAATCCCAAGATACAACTTCAAAAGATCGTCATTATTCAAGTTTAGAAATGTCGTCGTAATTAAAAGTTTCAACGCAAAATCTATGTGGGAGAGAATTAGCACCCCTATGTTTGATTTGCATTCAGACTGAGCTATAGTAATTGTAGTTTTGTCAATATAATCTAGTTAATTTGAAGTTGAATTGCATTTGCTAACATAGGGCCTTTAGATCCAATTAAAAGACGAGATTTTTCTGGGTAAATAAATTTGACTTTCAAAACAAAGTGCCCTAAAACACTATTATTTCATTGTTGACTTTTGGTTTAATAAAGGAGAGTGGTACTCCATTAATTAGGAGGTTTAATGGAATTAACAATTATGGACATTCTTTTTTTCCTGGATGAAAGATTATGTTTGAGATGTCAAAATGCTTGTTATTTTGGTTTTTCTATCTATTTTTCCTCTTCTAAATTTTTTGTTTGCTGTTTGACTCTCCAATATCATACATAGATTTATAACGGGAAGATTTTCATACTCACATTATCATATTTTATTTTGACGATCAAATTTGACAATTTTCCAATTTCAGATGCTCAATTGTAATTTTGTTAAAAGTGTAAGGTCCCCCAGTATCGAGAAAAGGGGCTTTCATCTACCTTTTAAAACTTCTTTTATTTTACGGAAAATCAAGTGCAAAGTTATTCGAGACAAAAAGAACAGAAAACAATGACTCGATAGTCGATACTATGAGATTTGTATTCAACTTGCAGTTTTTGATTCTATAAAATTCTAAGGAACAAAGAGGCGATGATATGTGTGGTCTTTAGGCTTAATTAATCATATCATTACAGAGGTATAACTAGAATAATCCAAAATCTCATGCCAAAAAAATGGACTTGATTCTTAAACTCGAGATGTGCGCATAACAAAAGGAATAAACCCTACCTATAGATTAATCAAATGAGAAATTCTATAATAAATGACACTAGTACAAAGTAGTGTATGATTCAATTAACAATTACATGTACTCTGTCACGCGTATAAAATTTTACATTCAAGATAAATTTCTCATGTTCACAAGTACTTTGACGTTCATTAACTCGTTAGTTTAACTTATTTGTCATATATAACAGTCACGATTAAATAAAAAGCATTAAGCGTGACAAACATTAATAAGAATTTGACCTTTTCGACTTATATTAGTTGAACGAGTAAAAATCACATGTGAAACTACTTGTTGCATTCGATCATTAACATAAACCAATTATCGTGAACACATAATGGATGCGGTTTCCCCTTTAAGATGTGAAGTTGAATTGAACTTTT